CCAGGTGTCGGAAGAGTTAGGTGAGTTACCTAAAGGCACACAGGTAGAAGGAGAGGGAGCCAGGACTCAAACCCTATGACTGTCATCCCAGAGGTGAAGTGGGGATGGGCGGGCATAAAACCAGCCTTTACGGAGGCCCCACGGTTTCCAGGCACAGGTCTGAGTGATCGGCACATATTATTAAACCTCACTACAGCTCTGGGAGGCAAGAAGCCCAGTTCACAGACAAAGGTGCACATTCTTTCTCCAGAAACATAAACGAAGGGATAGATCCGAGAGAGGTTAAGGAGACAGAGGGAAAAGGATCTGGGAAGTGCCCGGGTGCGGGGCAATGATGCCGGGGTCTCAGCCCCCTGGAAGTGAGGCAACTTCTCTTCAGCACCTGCCTGCCTTTGCATTAACTGCCTCTGTGGGGCCTGTTTTGGTACCTGGCTTTCCTCACTCACACCTTTGTCACTTTTTATTTAAAAGACTGTATTACAGGAACACCATACACATCATTAGCTTCTGGTTTTCATATATCACAGATGGAATTAAAGAAAGGTTTAGAAGAAAACTGTGATGCAGCAGTCACTTCAGAGGAGATGAGTTTGTAGCAGGTGGGGATGAAAGACACTTGGGGACTCCTCCCAGGTGCCTCGTCTCCCCTCCGGCTGCCACTAAGAGATGATCAGTGGTGCCTAATTAGGGCCGCAAGGACACAGACTTTAGACTCACCTCAGGTGGGAGCAGTGTTTTAAGAAGCTAATTCACTTTTTATACTCCTATTAAAAATTGTTTCCTTAGACAAACAGAAGTTGACTTCTATGTTACATTTTCAAAATTTAAAATCCTATGCAACAAGTATTTTGCCTTTATTACCTCTGTGTGTTTAAAAATGTATACATAGCAGCTTTTTCTTTCTTTCTCAGTGGACCCATGCACTTTAGCTGTTTCTAAGCTGCTAGACTGAATACTAATGCTAATTATTTTCCCATTACTGTCTGGGTCTTACTCCCAGGATCAAATATGCATCCCTCTCCCACTGTCTCCAGAGCAGCTCAGAGCTCAGATAGGTCTCAACAGTCCTAGGGGATACAGGACACAGACTGGCTTATCCCTAGGTCCCTTCCTTCTCAGGGGAAGTACTTTAGCCTGAATTAACCTTTCATTTGATCACTTGGCTTCTTAAAGATGCAAGGCAGACTTTTTGAGACAGTTCAGACACCACAAAATCCAAGACATACTTCAAATGATGGGCAGACTTCCTCATCAATACCAGGAATGCTGCAATTAACTATAGCAAAGGTGGTGGTAGGCTTTGTGATATCTAAGATAAAGAAAGTTAAAAATTACATTGTGATTCCTAAAGCTCAAAACTTCCATGATTTTTAGCCCAAACACCACTTCTATTCTGTTGCAGGGTTCATTTTATGAATGGGTCAGGTATTAATACAAGGTATCAATAAGAAAAAGCCAAAAGTGGGTAATACTAGTTCTGATCGTTTTACAATTTAATAAACCATCAATTCACGTATTACTTAAATTTACTGCCCTTCTGGCAATTCAGACACTCCAGACTCCACTGGAATGTCTGCACCAACCTCCAGAAGAACAAAAGGTACTAGGAGAAGTGAAGAGCAGTCCCATTCCACGTTCTCTCTCGTCAGAACAAAATCATGCTTTAAAGGGGCACATGTTCTTTCAAATAAATGTTAGCATTTGTACAAGATTGAATCTGCACTATGCTGAACACCATTTTATATGCAGAATATATTAACTTATGGAAAGGAATTTATCTTCTAAGGACTATATTAACTGCAGCAATCTCAGATAGCTTTACAGCCATTCCAGAGGTTCACCGCCTTTTTGAATTTGCCAAAGAAGTATCAATGGCATGACTCCCACACTTTGCATTTCTGCTAGTCCTAAGAGGATACCAAGGCATTCTCCTTATGCTCAAAGTAGTGGCTCTGATGAACTCGCACATGGTCTCTGGATCAAATATGCAAATTGATGATAAAGAAAATTTATTTTTCTGTTTTAAAAAGATTTTTAGTTATTTACTTATTTAGAGACAGAGTTTCGCTCTGTCACCCAGGCTGGAGTACAGTGGTACAATTATAGCTCACCGCAGTCTCTAACTCCTGGGTTCAAGCAATCCTCCTGCCTTAGCCTCCCAAGTGGCTAGAACTACAGGCACACGCCATGATGCCCAGCTAATTTTTTCTTATTTTTTATAGAGATAAGGTCTTGCTATGTTGCCCAGGCTGGTCTCAAACTCCTAGCCTCAAGTGGTCCTCCCACCTTGGCCTTCCAAAGTGCTGGGAATATTTTGTTTTTTAAAAAGCTAAATTCTTATTTGAAATATGTATTTGAAAGGGATTAAAGAGCTAAATATAGACTATATAAAATAAGAAGAAAATACAGGTGAATAATTTTCGATATTTAAATTTATAAGCATAAAAGCAATTTAAAAAATGCAAAAAGAGAAAATGACAAATTTGATGTTTCAGAGAAACTGGGAGAAGGATGGTTTCGGGTCATCTTTTAAAAGTCATGCAAACAAAGCTAAATTGTTATCAGCTTAAAATAGTCTATTATAACTGAAAGGTGGTCTTATTAACAACCTACCTAACAGAGGAAAATAAACCATCAAACAAAAGAGAAATAAGCCCATAACACATAATTGACCCTTTGAAGAAAAAAGTCACAACACAACTACAAAGGTAAAAAACAAGAGAGAAAGAAAGGAAAAAAGATGTACAAAACAACCAGAAAACAATTAACAAAATGGTAGGAGGAGGTCCTTACCCAGCAATAACAGCCTTGAATGTAGATGGATTAAATTCTCTAATTAAAAGATATAGAATGGATGTACAGATTTAAAAAAAACAAAAAAGAACAAAAACCAGGACCCAACTAACATAGACTGAAAGTGCAGGGACAAAAAAAAAATACTCCATGCAAACAGAAACCAAAAGCAAGCAGGAGTAGCCATATTTATGTCAGATAAAATAGACTTTAAGTCAAAAAGTATAAAAAGAGACAAAGAAGGTCATTATATGATAATAAAGGGATCAATTCAACAAGTGGATATAACAATTATAAATATAGATGCAGCCAACACTGGAGCACTCAACTATATAAAGCAAATATTAATAGATCTAAAGGGAGAGATGGACTGCAATACAATAATAGTAGGGGACTTCAGCATCACACTTTCAACAATAGACAGAATGTCAACAAATAAACATCAGACTTAAACTACACTTCAGACCAAATGGACCTAACATTCTATCCAACAGCTTCAGAATATACATTCTTCTCAACAATGCATTTCCCTTTGCAGTGTCAAGGGTAGTGGTTTACACCAGGGGTCTCCAACTTTTTGGCACCAGGGACTGGTTTCATGGAAGACAATTTCTCCACATACTGGAAGGGTGGGGTGGGGGGGGTAGTTTAGGGATGATTCAAGCACATTACACTTATTGTGCACTGTATTTCTATTATTATTACATTGTATTATATAATGAAATGATTGTACAACTCACCGTAATGCAACCTCTCTGCTAATGATAATCTGTATTTGCAGCCGCTCCCCAGCACTAGCATCACCGCCTCAGCTCCACCTCAGATCATCAGGCGTTAGATTCACATGAGGAGCGCACAACCTAGATCCCTCACATGCAGTTTACGGTAGGGTTCACATTCCTGTGAGAATCTAATGGTGCTGCTGATCCGATGGGAGGTGGAGCTCAGGTGATGATGCGAGTGATGGGGAGCAGTTGTAAATACAGATGAAGCTTAACTAGCTCCCTTGCCACTCACCCCCTGCTGTGCAGCCCGGTTCCTAACAGGCCATGGACTGGTACCACGGTACTGCAGGTTTACACACTACCATCTGTTTCAAATCCTGGAGAAATCCACGACAACCTGTATTCCTTGAGTCTGGGGTAAGCCAAAGAGATTTCAATGTGCAACCCTGGATGAGGCTTCACAAAAGAGGACAAGGTGTACCTGGCCTCACCTGGAACTCCATCACATCCAGTACAGAGGAAGTGCTGCTGACTGAGGATACAGGTGATGTTAGTTACGTACACTTTCCCTCAGAGCATGTTTTACCAAGAGGTCCTGCCCTGCAAAGAACTGAACCACCAGGACACCTATACAAAAATCACACTGGATCTACAGACTGCTTATTAGCAGACTGTTAGAATTAATTAGCATTTAGAGCCACATATTTGCAGGAAGAAAATCACTCTCCATGATTTCTGGTTTCCTCATAATCTCTGGTTTACAGTCTTTCAGCAACCATTTCTGCTTCCCTCAATATTTTCGACAGGCATTTTAACGATCATTTTTCACCATTAGAATAATACATGCTAATTATAAAAAATTTAGAAAATACAGCAAAGTTGATAGCAGAAAAAATATCATGCATATTTTCTTACAACCACTATTAATATTCTGGTATATTTCCACTTAATCTCTGCTTGATTTAATAGCTATTTAAAATTAATATGCCCCATAAGCCAACTCTGGTAAAAATCACCAATAAACTAGGATATGAACTTCCATCTGCAATCTCTTTCAATTAGGAACAAGGCTGTATCTTCATGACCGTAAAACAACCAGTAGATTAGGTTTAAAATGATTAAATTCAATGGAAGGAAAATTGGTTAAGTGAGTTGTTTAATGTCTGAATACGAGCTGGCACTCCTCATTTTTCTGTTATTAACAATTTTTCCAGCAGCCTAGTAGTTGGAATTAAGCTAGTCCAAGATGTTGAGTAACCATCACTTCAGATATAAACCCCTTTACACACTGACTTCCTTAATTATTTAATCATGTATGATTCTGGGAGACTCGAAAATCCATAGCATTAGCAATGTTTTTTTGACAAGTATACAATTGCCATTATTTGTCAAGATACTTAAGGATTTATTTTCCATTTCAGTCTTTCATAATATAATAAATATGCTATTTACTGTTATCTAAAACAAAAATTATTGGCTTACCTGATTAAGAAATTATGCAGTCCAACGTCAAAATACCTGTTCAGAGGAGACATAGATAAGCATATCAATAAAAGATATTTACACTAATGGTGAACTTGACAAAAATATATATAACTTATACTAACAGCACAATGAATAAAATCAATTACTCTATGACAGTGTCAGCAGGGGCATCACCTGGGAACTTGCTGGAAATGCAAATTCTCAGGTCCCACCTCAGACATACAGATTCAGAAATTCTGGGAGTGGGCCCAGCAGTCAGATTTAACAAGCCCTCCAGGTGATGCTGATAGAGAAACACTACTCTTTGGTAGTAAAAGTGTCTCAGCAAGCGTAAGCGTGCTCTCTCTAGAAATAAAGGCCATGAGGGTGGATCTTCCAGGTACCTCCGACTTTTCTAACAGGTGAGTTCTTTTGTAATACTGGCGTCTCAGATGTTTAATTATTGAAAAATAAATGAAATAGGTTCAAAGCACAAAACCACACTAGCCAAAGGGGAAAGGGGGGTGTCAGCTCTGGTCTTCCAAGCCCCACCTAGTTATAGTCCCTGGAGCTTTCCACCTGCCCCATACCTGGGTCTGCCCTGAGGAGAGAAGTGAGAAGAGTTACAGCTCCACGCACTAGCTGGCAAGCCCGCCATTGTGCTCAGCTTCATGCCAGGAATTCCGTAAGCCACAGACCACGGTGGACCCTTTAAATCACAGCCTTCCCCTGACACCACCACACTGGCTTGGTCCATATGAATGGCACTGCCTTGGTTTCCCTAATTAGCACGCTTATTCTCCTTGAACCTCCCACCGCCTAGCCAGTGCCCTTCTCCCCCTCGGGTCTGGCTGCGAGTGAAAAGACTGGGTGGCCAGAATCACACTGCTACTGTCCACCAGGCATAAGCGCACCCCTAACACCTAAAGGGTGGCTGCTGTGTCCCACCCACCAAACTCACCTCTCAGGTGGCAATCAGCCCGAGTAAAGCCTGAGTTAATTCTGTCCCTTCGGACGAGGGGCAACAGGCACAGGGATTCATCCTACAGAGGGGTCCAACTGCCCAGGCCCTAGCAGATGGTCCCCAGCTTCCAGCTGTACCCCTACCCCCTCCCTGGAGCAGTCCTGCATGTCTGGTACCTCACCCCACCTGACACATGACAGGTGATTGCTGACATTAGGATTCCTTCCGGGATACCTTTGAATGACCAGATTCTTTTAAGTACTTAAGTATCTGTTTACAGACCATGGACACAGGGTAGGTGAGAATAGAAAAAACTTAAAGCCAAAATATGAGGTACCTCATTTATTCCATCACTTAGCTGAAATAATTACATATTTCAGGGAAAATGGGATTCAAGATATAAGGATTCCATTTATTCATAAGTCTTCTGCACAAAGCTATTCTCTAAAGGGAGATCTAACTGTAGGGAGAGCTAATTTGGTTCATTTGATTTTACACTGACTTTGAGAAGATGCTAAGTTCTCCCTATAATTATATTTAACACTGATTTAAAAAAAAATTGAAATGACCCCTCCTCTCAACAAAAACCGAGGTACTTTGCTTAGCAACATAGGTAAATATCCATCCCACAGATAGAAAGCCGAAGTTTGCCAGATCTACAATATGGGAGGAAGACGCATATATATATTATTAATAAAACAAAAATTTCAGCTTCCTTCACTCACCCAAAGCTTACTGAGCCTTTTCAATTACATCAGCTACAGAAAGCAACAGACTATTCCAGAAATCACAGGACAAAACAGACGTGGAAGGAATCACAGAGACCCTCAGTGTACCGGGGGGTGGGATGGTAGGAGGAAGAAGATACTGAAAGAGTAATGAAAAGTTTAATAGTATTAATGAAAGTTATTATTTAGTGTTTAGCATGTGGCAAGTACTATGTTTGGTGCTCACATATATAGCCAGTAAATTGGTATCCCCATTTACTGGTGATGGAACTAAAGTTCAGAGAGGTGACGTGACTTGCACAGAGCTCAGAGCCAGTAGAGGACAAAGCTGGGAGCCCTAAAATGCATCAATTACTTGCTCTTCCCGAGCACCCCGCTAAAAGCTTGGGTTCTCACTGCCTCTCATTAGCACTGATGAAAACGGCTGATCATTTTAAACACCGACACCTTCCTGCTGCCACCTGATTTCCACTTCTCCTGGTGTAGCTGCCCTGCTCCAAGCAAGCCCACCTGGCCCTGCTCCCCCACACACACCTGCTCCACAGGCGCCACATGCCTCCCGGGTCTTAGTGCCAGCCAGGCTCCAGAAAGTTATTAATAACTTCTCCAGCTTTCAGCTTCTTCACTGGGAAAATGGAGAGCCCTTAATCGAGGGAAGTTACGAGAACTCAGTGATACGCTATAGAAACAAGGCTTAGCACGGGACCTGGTACACAGTCACTGCTCAATAAATCGTAATCTCCTTCCCTCCCATTTTTAAAAGTTGTTTTAATGGAATGTCCAGTCCCAATAACTCAGTGGGAGAAGCAAGCCACATAAAAAGAACATGCAGCCCAGAGAGACCGCTTACTCCAGGGCACAGGCAAGGCAGCTGGAAAGCAGTGGGGGCAGGGGTGAGGGGTAGCAGGGACCCCTGAGGGACTGGGACAGAGCTCAGGAGAGCAGGAGGACAAGTCGTTCCACAGAGTCCTCACAAAGAGCCTAGAAGCCAAGCACAGTGGGCTGGGAGGGCTGGGAAGGCGGCCCTGGTGACCAGCGGGGAAGGCCCCAGCCTGCCTGCCCCGTTCCCAACAGCCATCTTGGTACCACGCAGTAGTGCATGCCCAGCTTCACCCGTAGCCACCGTTTAACTACAGAAGTGAGGGACGGTGACACAGGCTGTATCGTAGACTCTTTCTCCCCACGCGCGAGTGATCGGTGGTGGAGGGAATCTGGGGCCGGGACAAGTGGGGGGCTTCAAGCACCCGATGACATACAAGCTCATTCGGAGGGAGAAGAGCATAACACATTAACTGCTATGTGAGTTGTATTTAACTCACATTAGTTTTGAGCCTGGGGCCTCATGAAGCGTATGTAACTTACACATCTCTACCTTCGGAGCCGCGTGAACTGTTTTTCAAGTTGCGTATAACTCACACACAGAAAACAAAAAATAATAGAATGAAGTGGCATCATCATAGCTCACAGCAACCTCAAACTCCTGGGCTCCTGTGATCCTTCTGCCTCAGCCTCCCAAGCCGCTGGGATTACAGGTGCGCGCCACTATGCCTGGCTATTTTTTTCTATTTTTTTCTATTTTTTATAGACACCGGGTCTCATTCTTGCTCAGGCTGGTCTTCAACTCCTGAGCTCAAGCAATCTTCCCCCCTCAGCCTCCCAGAGTGCTGGCATTACAGGTATGAGCCACTGTGCCTGGCCCATTTTAACCATTTTTAAGTGCACAGATAGATCAATGGCATTAAGTACATTCACATTGTTATGCAACTATCACCATCATCCATCTGCAGAACTTTTTCATCTTCCCAAACTGAAACTCTACCCAAGAAACACTAACTCTCCCTTTCCCCTACCCCTGTGTTTGCCCTAGTGACCACTGTTCCACTTTCTGTCTCTGAATTTGACAACTGTTGGTACCTCATATAAATGGGATCATACAATAGTTATTCTTTTGCGTCTAGATGGCTGTAAGTTTTTAAAAATAAGGTTCACCCAACTCATATCAACACCGTCATTCTCTGTAGACCTAGCCATGGCCTCCCATGAATGATGTAGTAGTAAATTAATTTTTTTCCATTTCTTGGTGCCCTTCCCCATAGAAAGGGCTGCCGGCCAACTAAAGTCCTCTCTGTTTTCCTCCTCCACCTGTAACATGTGGTCTACCTACTGGATACTTAGCATTAACACATCACCTATTAGGTGTTTAAAAACTAAACATATTCAAAATCACATTATGAAATATAACAATCTCTGCAAGGCAAACTTTGTCTTCCATATTTGACTAATGGTCAGAAAATTATCCATTCTTACAGCACACCCTGACAGATTTCCATTGCAAAGCACATTTTAAGGGCTTCGGAGATACTTCCCAATGACAATTTTGTGTACCACCCCATGCATGAAGGTATGAGGGTATCGGTCTAAGAACTAATAATTCTAGCTCCCGAGGCGGGTCACAGAACAGGTGTTTTTTATTGCCTCTAAGTATAAGAGACTTCGCAGTGACTGCAAAATATGGGTAGGATACACACAAGCTTTAATTTAATGCTGCCTATCACCTTCCTTGGATCATGTGGGAAAGAAAGGCAAGGCTTTCTAAGGAGTAAAGGGTTACAGTTTCTTGCCATGCAGACAGTACAGCACACAGAGTGGAGAAGGGGAACGTTAATAACCAAAGCCAACACACACACGGTGCTTAACATGTGCTAGGCACTCTCCTACTCTACACACACATACACACTATCTTTGCAACAATGCTATGAGGCAGGCACTATTATTATGCCCACTCTGCAGAGGAAGAAACAGAAACACAGAGAAGCAAAGTGACCACACAGTTAGTTAGGGGTAAAGCCAGCATCTAAACCCAGATATTCCCCATTAGCTAGAAGATGCCCAAGGAAACAGGACCCTGGTTTTGATGAATACATGATAGTAATGTAAAAGCATTAACTTCCTAATATTGGTTATTGCAGGCTGAACATCCTAAATCCAAAAATCTGAAATCTGAAATCCTCCAAAATCGAAAACTTTTTTAGCACCGACATGACATTCAAAGGAAATGTTCATTGAAGCATTTCAGATTTCAGATATTCGAATGCTCAACCAGTATAATGCAAATATTCCAAAATTTGAAATAATCCAAATCCAAAACACCTTCTGGTCCTAAGCATTTCAAATAAGGGCTACTCAACCTGCATATTGCAGTTATGTAGGAGAACGTCCTTAGAAACACACACTGCAGTATTTGGGGGTGCAGATGTATCAAGTCCACAACCTAATCTCAAATAATTCAGGGAAACAGTTATGTGTACTGTGCTTCTAATATTTCTGTGAGCTTATGATTATTTCAACTTCAATAAAAAATG